CTGCATATGGCACATGATGTAAAATGAGTTTGACATCCCTAAAAACATCCAAAGCAGACCAGACTAGTGTAGTTTTTAAACTTTTTACTGTTTGTTTCAGGCTCAGACGAAAAGACAGATGAGGAAGCACATCCTGCCACTAAAACTAGTAGTTCCCCTGATGACGTGAGAGAAGAGGATGAGTCTCCCACCACTCCTACACAGACAGGTATAGAAATAAAAAAAACAATAACCTTTTTCCCTCCAGGCACAGAAAGACTACAATTTGGAAAAGACACCATAAAAATAATGAGCAAATTTGTTTCTAAAAACAAAAATGATTGAGATGGCGTAGGTGACCTTACATATTTATATATTTAAAGATTCAATAATTTCTTTTATAGGCATGTTAGCAATGCCTTTGTAAGCATTTCAATATAATAAATCAAAGTATTTCTATTTAAAAAAAAATTGAAAAGCAGCAAAGGCACGCCTAATACAAAAAAAAAACTGATGTAAATCCACTAGGAGAAGACAAAGTCTCTGAATGTGGTCATTTGAAAGAACACAGTGGGGCTACAGAGTCGAATCTTCAATCATCCCCTGCTTCTGAAAAGCCAGGTTTGAAATTATACCATGTCAGCTAGATTTAGAATAGTGACAGGAATAAACAGTAAGCAAGACAAAGCCAGATGAGCTTTTGAACTTCATCTTTTGAAACATGAGCAGATATATATTCATACATGTACATTTTTACTGGCATATGTTTGCTAATTAGTCCTAAATAAAAAATAAGCATAATCACCTCCTTCTTACTTAAAGCAGCCACATATGCATTATTCATTAACTTATAAAAGTTTAAGCTAATTGTTGTAAAGATCCAGACTGTTTAGTGCACCATCTTGTACACGTTTAGTTCTGGTGCAAAGGTCAGCATTTTAATATCAGTGTGTGTGGGGACTGACTTGTATTTGAAGTCACCCTCAACTGGCAGTTTAAGGAACTGCAGTTTTTAGCACCTGGTTTCAATTATTTAATACTGGTAGTTTCCTTCTACTAACTGGGGAATGGAAGAAGGAAACTTCTACA